ACTAGAGGCTGCTGAAGCACAACCACACAGTAATGGACAACCACTTTAATATTTACCATAATCTGACATTAAATACTCAAATATGATTTCCCCCACCACCAAATTAATACTTGATCAAGGGAACAGTAGCTTTAAAATATTAAAGATTATGGGAGACATTTCAATCCACAGACAGTATATAGTATATCACATATCATGAAATGAATTGTTATCCTATATTAAAAAGGAAAGATGCATTTTGTATTTTTTATGCAAAAACAGATACAGAGTATTTCAGGCTACCTTTATAAAGTTAAAACTATTTACTTGGCTTTAGTGTTTTGAAAGTGACTTTCTTTTTATTTTCCGGGCACAGAATAATATTCTTCATCTAGAGTAGGGTTCTATGAATCCTTAGGTTCTAGGTGTTCTATGAATCCTCTACATTCCTCATGAGTTTTACGCGGTTTTACTGTAGTTTCTCATAAGCATATACACACACACGACCCGGATGCGGTAGTAATGGGGCAGATCTCGCTCTCTCGGGCCTGATGAGAGTGGGAGCCAGAGTTGCCAAGTCCGCGGTTTTCCCGCGGAATTGGGTTACTTTAATGCCGTGGGTTGTTTATCAAGTCCACGGGTTGAAGCGACTCCAATAACGTGATATTTATCCCCTGAAACGCGAATTTTTACCAGGGTAACCCCGCCAGAAAATGTGTATTTTACCCGCCTGGACGCGATTTTTAAAGGGGGGCTGGGCTAGTTTTCAGTAGCGATTGGGCGGGTTTTGTTGTGAAAACCTGGCAACCCTGGAGAGCGGAGCTGCGCGAGCTTACAGTGATTCTGCTCGAGCGCCTTCACTTTCTGCCGCCGCTCAACCAAATTATCTCATTTATTTCCATAGAAATCGCAGCGCAAGCCGATCGGACTTCACAATCAGCATCGGAATAACATTTCAAAGCGTTTCCCCGCCTCTCTTCCCGATTTCTGGACTGCGAGACATGGATAGATGGAAAAGTTTGGCTGTTTTTGGTGTCTGTGAGGGAGTTCGATACGGGCGATGAGTCCCGTGAAGAGATTTCACACATCTGACTGGAAAAACACTAATTTACTGCGCTCATCTACACAATTAACCACTTATTAAACTAAGCCAGTGGAGATATGACTATAGTAAGTACTCATTTAACGTTACCTCATATTTCATAAATCAAATCTCTTCTGCTGTGATTAGTTAGCTGGCTAGGTAATTAGCATAGTAACGTTAGCTTCGCAAACTATTATATAATCCAAATCAGCCAAGTCTGGGTTTCAAGTCATATTTTCTTCGTTTGGTATGTTATTGTGGTGCAAAAACGGAGTTTAAAAGTTGTTTTTCCTCTGACGTAATAAAGTATGACATCGGTGTGTTCAAACATCTTTGATGTGTGTGTGTGTGTGTGTGTGTGTGTGTGTGTGTGTGTGTGTGTTTTCAGTTAAACTAGAATTTATCAAAACATTCTGTTAAAAGCTTACTTACAAATATTATGTGCTTGGTTAAAAATAAGCTCAATAAACATTATTTCACTAGGAAAATGTAAACTGGTTTGCGTGTTTATCCTGATAAGTGATGAGGATCAAATATTGTGTGAATTTAAAAGACCTAAAACAATTTATTGTTACTTTAAAATATTTTAAATGCATTCAAAATAGGTGATTTTATGGCAGGTCTGATGGATTGGTTTACTATTATACCCCACATACATTTATAATTATATTAGTTATATTTTGTAATTTTAGACTTTTTTTTTTTAATAAATATACACACATAAATTACTATTTTGACTTTCAGAGGGTCCTCAAGAGTGATTATTAATGAATAAACCTGATTATAATCACTGACCGCTTATATGAGTCCCTCCATTCACATTAATTGACATTTGCATGCTTTAATCATATTTAGTAATATTTTGGACATGTAAACAAGGCAGTGCATGCTTAGTATGACTGTAAATACAGCAGGTATCATAACTAACATGGCATGATTCATAACGCTCATCAGCAGCATTGATCCCCCGAGCTCCTGGAGGCTTGTGTGTTTCCGAGAATCTCGCCTGAAGCCTGACAATGTGTCGTTTCTAGGAAAGCAGCGGTCAGCAGTGATGCAGCGCTTGTGTGTCCTTCACTTTTTCTGTCTGATTGAACATTGAACGGATTCAGCAGCGGGTTCCCATTGTCTGGTGGGTTATTTGCCGATAGATTCGACCCATGCATGTGTAGAAATAGGCATTAGTTTGCTTTAAAGTTCATAAGTGGAGATATTCCACTCAACGAAGGACATATTAGGCCCTTTTCTAATGGGTGTGGTGTACTGTAGGTCACCACACCTGAATCATGGCAGCAGACACAGTCATGATTGCACAAAGTGAAGGACCTGTGGGTGTGACGACCGAGAGCATCACCACCCATAGGATAAAGCTTTGGCAGAAGGCACTAATGCCACCTCGTGCTGATGGATGTCAGGATCCAGGTGGAAAAAGCAGAGTAAAGACAGGTCCGTTTGCACACACGCTCCCTCAAATCTGTGTGTGCGCCGACAGGGTGACTGTGTTTCTCCTGTTTGCCCAGTGACTCAGCAGAGCTGCCTTTATGGTTTCCCGTTAATTGCATTTGACGGTTTCTCTGACGCACTTTGCATTATGTACTCTTATCAGCGAAAAGATGCTTTGAATACATTAAGTTGTCAGCATTAATACAAGTTTATGCCATACATTTATGCCAAATCCTCAGTGTCTAAACCCATCAGCATTCCGTTTGGCTTGTATTGTGTGAGATTGTTTGCTTTCATTTGTGCATTTAAAACTTTTGGGCTTGTTTCAGTTGTTGGGTGTCCATTCTTTCAAGCACACTGAAAAGAAATGGTGTAGAATAATTTTTTTACTCGATGTCGATGACTTTTTAAATGTAGCATTGCATCACTTGCTCACCAATGGATCCTCTGCAGTGAATGGGTGCCATCAGAATGAGAGTCTAAACAGCCAAAAGCTGCATGTTTATAAGAAACAAGTCATATTAATACAATCATACAAATCATATTTTAGTGAGAAGCAACGGTTTGATGTTGAAAACGTCTCGATGGATTTGTTTCTTACAAAGAAATGGTCCTGGCTATTTCAAGCTCTATCATTGCAGTCAGTCTTTTGTCTTCTTAAGACATTAACTGATGAACTGGAGTGATGTGGATTATTGTGATGTTTTTTATCAGCTCTTATTCTGACGGCACCCATTCACTGCAGAGGATCCATTGGTGAGCAAGTGATGCAATGCTACATTTCTCCAAATCTGATGAAGAAACAAACTCATCTACATCTTGGATAGACTGAGGATGAGTAAATTTTAAGCAAATTTTGCATTTTGGGTTAACTATTCCTTTAATAATCAGAAATATCAGTGAAATTCTGTGGCTCTGAAATGGCTCTCTCTGCTTGTTATATCATGTTCATGCTCATTTAATGGCAGAAAGGTTTTTTTTCACTCTGTAATGTGAAATGTGCTGATTTTGAGGCTGTGTTGAATTGCAGATAATAGAGCAAAAGTTCTGAAGGCCGTCCAGTTCTTTTCAGAGGCTCGGTGAAATAGCTTTACTGCTCTTATGAAAACACTCACAGCAGCTTGGCAGTTTTTCTTTCATTCGTACATCATAATAGCCATGTTGGAAGAACTGAGCTGAATCATCATCAGAATAATGATTCACAGTGACGTGATGGACAACCAGAAATTCAGCGTTTAGCCTTCAGTTTGATTTAAGTTTGTGATTTGATCTGAAAAGCACCTTGTCTTTGTTTGAGGAGCACATAAACAGCTGAGCTCATTTTAAGAGTTTTTTTACTTGACAATAACAAATTTATTAATATTGTATGCAATGAGAATACTAAATTGTCTGGAAATGTTCCTGCAGTCAATAATTGAAATGTTTTATTGATGCTGACTATGCAGAGTTAAAGTATTGTGTGTGTGTGTGTG